CTACTCTCTCTGCCCCCCTCCCTGCAGTACCCTCCTCCTCTAATCCCACCCAGAGGAGAAGTGAATGCTGCAGATGCTTTCGACATCGGCTCCTTTGACGAGGAGGACACCAAGGGCATCAAGGTAAAACCTCAGTGTGTTCATGTGTTTTTTTTTTTTTAATTATTCTTAATTCCCAGCTGAAGTGATGCCAATCTGTTGAGGAACCAAATCTGTGAATCAGATTTATGGTTTGGACTCACATGTGCAGTTGAAGGCTTATAAAGTCACTTCTGTGTGCAGGATGTCATTAACAGCTTCTTCAAACAGTAAGACCTCCACATTAGAACAAAGACTTCAGTTTAATCAATATATTTCTGATTTACACACATAACGTGTCATTCAAACACATAATCCACCTGGTTTCTTTATGCTCTTCTCGTCACATGGAGTCGAAGCTTTTTCCAAACTTTTCATTTTATGTAACCTAAAATATGTCACAGCAAATTTTAACCCATTCAAATATTTAATATAAAAGGTATACTTTAGTTTTTAAATCTTCCACAGTCTTTTGTTTTCCTAAAAATATACCTGCTGTTTGGCTTCTAACAAACCGATTATTTCCCCTCAAAAATGGCTCCTAATCTGGCCTAATCTGTCTCTGGAAATAAAAATGTATGCAAGGATCATTGCATGTTTTCTGTTACCTGTGCCAGTTTTAAACCATGCTGTCTAGATCTGCACTGTTCTTGTTGTAGAAGCTGGAAGTTGTTCCCAACACCAGCTTTTATCTCATCATCAGTAAAATTGGCTGAGTTCTATTTGTTTTTGTGTTTGCCGAGGTCGTCTCGTCTCATCGGTTTGAATGACGTTAAAATACATCCATCGATTCTTGAAAATTTAGGTAAAATCATTCTAGTGGTTTGTGAGAAATTTATCTTAACAGACCGACGGCACATAGGAGGAAAACTATAATCACCTGCCTTCAGAACTACGTTTTATTAAATAAAGAAAGAAATTCGCTGGTGTTTAGTCATTGCTCGAACTGATAATCACTCCAATTTTTCCATCAGCTGACTCATCAGACCGCCAATAACATATTTACGCTTTGTTTAAAAGCAAATCTAATTCAAACAGAAGAATCTAAGTGGGATCCCAGAGTCAGAGAGCTGATACAGTTGTGGTCAAAAGTTTACATACACTTGTAAAGAAACATAATATTATGGCTGTCTTGAGTTTTCAATAAGTTCTACAACTCTTATTTTTCTGTGATAGAGTGATCGGAACACATACATGTTTGTCACAAAAAACAGTCATAAAATTTGGTTCTTTCATAAATTTATTATGGGTCTGCTGAAAATGTCACCAAATCTGCTGGGTCAAAAATATACATACAGCAACAAAATTTGTCAATTTTGGTGATGTAGCGAGTTGTGTCAATCAAATTAGCTTCATGTCATGGCCTCTTCACTTCTTGTAAGTGATTCTGATTGACTACAGCTGTTGACTTCTCATGAGCCCATTTAAATAGGGCTCATTTGACCCAGTGATTAGATTCAGCTACAAAAGCTACAATGGGAAAGTCAAAGGAACTCAGTGTGGATCTGAAAAAGCGAATTATTGACTTGAACAAGTCAGGGAAGTCACTTGGAGCCATTTCAAAGCAGCTACAGGTCCCAAGAGCAACTGTGCAGACAATTATACGCAAGTATAAAGTGCATGGAACAGTTGTGTCACTGCCACGATCAGGAAGAAAACGCAAGCTATCACATGCTGCCGAGAGGAGATTGGTCAGGATGGTCAAGAGTCAACCAAGAATCACCAAGAAGCAGGTCTGCAAGGATTTGGAAGCTGATGGAACACAGGTGTCAGTCTCCACAGTCAAGCGTGTTTTACATCGCCATGGACTGAGAGGCTGCCGTGCAAGAAAGAAGCCCTTGCTCCAGAAAAGGCACCTTAAGACTCGGCTGAAGTTTGCTGCTGATCACATGGACAAAGATAAAACCTTCTGGAGGAAAGTTCTCTGGTCAGACGAAACAAAAATTGAGCTGTTTGGCCACAACACCCAGCAATATGTTTGGAGGAGAAAAGGTGAGGCCTTTAATCCCAGGAACACCTTACCTACTTGTCAAGCATGGTGGTGGTAGTATTATGCTCTGGGGATGTTTTGCTGCCAGTGGAACTGGTTCTTTGCAGAAAGTAAATGGGATAATGAAGAAGGAGGATTACCTCCAAATTCTGCAGGAAAACTTAAAACCATCAGCCCGAAGGTTGGGTCTTGGGCGCAGTTGGGTGTTCCAACAAGACAATGACCCAAAACACACATCAAAAGTGGTAAAGGAATGGCTAAACCAGGCTAGAATTAAGGTTTTAGAATGGCCTTCCCAAAGTCCTGACTTAAACCCCATTGAGAACATGTGGACAGTGCTAAAGAAACAGGTTCATGCAAGAAAACCATCACATTTAGCTGAACTGCACCAATTCTGTCAAGAAGAGTGGTCAAACATTCGACCTGAAGCTTGCCAGGAGCTTGTGGATGGCTACCAAAAGCGCCTAGTTGCCGTGAAAATGGCCAAGGGACATGTAACCAAATACTAATATATAATGTTGCTGTATGTATATTTTTGACCCAGCAGATTTGGTGACATTTTCAGCAGACCCATAATAAATTTATGAAAGAACCAAATTTTATGACTGTTTTTTGTGACAAACATGTATGTGTTCCGATCACTCTATCACAGAAAAATAAGAGTTGTAGAACTTATTGAAAACTCAAGACAGCCATAACATTATGTTTTTTTACAAGTGTATGTAAACTTTTGACCACAACTGTACATCAGACAAATTGACTCCTAAAAGCCCACTCTTGTTTTGATGGAAACCAAAGAGCAAACCACAGGCAGCAGATGATGCTCATAAAAAATTACCTCCCATTATCTTAAACAATAACTCCCAACACACACACACACACACACATACACACACACCTGAAGCCACAGCTGGCCCCTGACGACACAGTGTTGTGGCCTTTAGCGATATTTCCTGAACAGTTTTCCTCGTACTCACAGATCTCGCAGCAGCTCTTCAATATGTTTTTGTTGACTGACATTCTTTTCCTGTTCAGTGGCAGTCTCGTTTCAGATCAAAAGTTAAAAAGTGGACGAGGGAAAATAATTTTTTGTGGTTGAAACATTCCCAAAGACACGGATCTCATCATTATAATGACAATAGCTGCGTTTCCATTGCAAATGTGCGCAAAACTTTGTAGATATTCTGTTAATGTAAAAAAAAAACACAGTTTCACAACTGCGGTGTTTCCATTTAGTAAGAAATGCTATTAAAGTCACGCGTGAATATGTTTTTTCTCACGATAAGTCATTACAAGCATGGCGACAATGAATGTGAACACATAGCATGTTTCTACCACAACACTAGCGCTCATCATCAGAGGAGACATCGGCGTCTTTTATCGAGGCTTTCCAGCGACAAGTCCCTTATACTTGGGCACGGCTACGTATGCTGTGTTTTTGGGAAAATGTTGTCGGTGAGTTTAATACTTTCTTTTACAACTTCGTGATTTCACTACTACTTCTACTTCCTGTTATCATCTTCATCGTCGTGTTTTCTCCAGTAGAAACAGCCGGTTCTTGATCACGTGACTCCCGTGATGCGAAAAAAGTGTTTCCATTGCAGTTTTGCGGAATACACCAATTTCAATGCGGCCGCAAAACCACCTCATTCTAGCGCAAAAACATTTTGTCGAAAAATGTAATTTTTTTCGAAATCGATGTGTTTCCATTGAGCAAATTTATTTTCGAAATTCTAATTTGCGCATTTTCATGGTCAATGGAAACGCAGCTAGTGACAAATAGATGATATCTGGTGATCTGGTTTTTAAAGATGATGATGATGATGATGATGATGATTACAGCCACTTCAGCTTGATGCATCACATATGTTTGTTGATGTAATTGGACATGTTTCTGAGAACACTCCTCACTGCAGATCTCTGTGTTTTAGACTTGAGGCTGTTTATGAACTCATACCCATTTATCAAGACAGGCCAGGTTAGATACAATGAGGTCAACTTAATCTCCTTAGTGTGGCTACAAGCTTAACCTCATCAGGTCATCTTAGTGCCCATGATGATGTTCAAACATGAGACATTTACTACTCGTGTCCTCCCTTTCAGCTGCTGGACAGCGACCAGGAGCTGTACAAGAACTTCCCTCTGGTCATATCGGAGCGCTGGCAGCAGGAAGTGGCTGAGACGGTCTACGAGGCGGTCAACTCGGACACAGACAAGATCGAGGCTCGCAAGAGGGCCAAGAACAAGCAGCTCGGCCACGAGGAGGGTAATGGAACCGGCCGAATGACGTGTCTGTACACTGCGAGACACTGTCAGAGTTGCTAACCATGTGTGTGTGTGTGTGTATGTGTGTGTGTGTGTGTGTGTGTGGGTATAGACTACGCCTTGGGGAAGGACTGCATAATGCACGGCTACATGCTGAAGTTGGGGAACCCGTTCCTCACCCAGTGGCAGCGCCGCTACTTCTATCTGTTCCCTAACCGAGTGGAGTGGAGGGGGGAGGGCGAGTCACGGGTGAGTCAGCCTCGCAGGACACTCCATGTTCACACTGATGTGAGTCAGCTTGTCTGTCCTGGAGCAAAAGGCTGTTGTGTCAGTGTGTGAACAGTGTCTGTCTGTCTGTCTGTCTGTCCTGACTCACTACTGAAGGAGAAGTGGCTAAAAGCCTTTAAAATGCAGAAAGACGGGGTGAGTGTTGCCTCCAGCTCTCCGCTGTCCACAGCGGGTTTAGAGATGCCACCCCACCCCTCGCTTTGCACACAGTAGTGCTCTTGTATTTGCAGCCTTGTTTGTATTTGCAGCTTCTTGCAAACCTCAACCTCGAGTGCACAAAAACACACAACAGGTTCCACCAATTTATTTACCTCAAACCAAAACAAAGTGTATGGATTACCTGACCATCATCAATCAGTCTGGTGACTTCTGTAAAATGTGAATGTCTACATTAACCACAGGACTTCTGAGACATCCTTCAAACAGGCAGGACCAAAGTAGAGATGTTTGGCTTTAATTCAAAAGTTCAGGTCAAGTTCAAAAATACCTTATTGATCCCAGAGGGAAATTAGGTAATGTCTGTGTCCTAATTCAGGCACTGGGTCCTTCGAAGGGTCTATAGCCTTCTGCTTTATTCCCACCCATATCCCAGCACACAGCGGGTAAAATAAGTATTGAACACGTCACCATTTTTCTCAGTAAATATATTACTAGAGGTGCTAATGACATGAAATTTTCACCAGATGTTGGTAACAACCCAAGTGATCCATACATACAAAGAAATCAAACCTAAATGTCCAGAAATGAAGTTATTTGTAATAATGTGGAATGGCACAGGAAAAAAGTATTGAACACATGAAGAAAGGGAGGTGTAAAAAGGCATGGAAAGCCAAGACACCAGCTGAACTCTCTCAGTAATTTGAAAGCAAGCCTGCCCCTTGTCAGTGCAAGTTAATATCAGCTGGTTCAGTCCCAAATGATGGCCAGGTATCACACAAGAACCATCTGATGATGGGTAAAAGTAAAGAGCTCTCTCAAGACCTTCACAACCTTATTGTTGCAAAGCATAATGATGGCATCGGTTACAGAAGAATGTCTAAACTTCTGAAGGTTCCAGTGAGCACTGTTGGGGCCATAATTCAGAAGTGGAAAGAACATTATTTCACCATAAACCGACCACGACCAGGTGCTCCTCACAAGATTTCTGACAGAGGAGTGAAAAGAATTAACCACCATGGCCTGTATGCACGCTCACCACGCAAGACTCCACTGCTGAAGAAACAGCATGTTGAAGCTCCTTTAAAGTTTGATGCACAACATTTAAACAAGCCTGTGTAATACTGGGAGAATATAGTCTGGTCAGATGAGACCAACATTGAACTGTTTGGATGCCAGAATACACATCATGTTTGGAGGTCAAATGGCACTGCACATCAGCCCAAATACACCATACCAACAGTGAAGTTTGGAGGTGGGAACWTCATGGTGTGGGGCTGTTTTTCAGCATATGGTACTGGCAAACTTCAAATAATTGAAGGAAGGATGARTGGAAAAATGTACAGAGACATTCTTGATAAAAATCTGCTTCCATCTACCAGGATGATGAAGATGAAACGTGGCTGGACATTTCAGCAAGACAATGAGCCCAAACACAAAGCCAAGGAAACTCTCTGTTGGTTTCAGAGAAAGAAACTAAAGCTGCTGGAATGGCCCAGCCTATCACCTGACCTGAATCCAACAGAAAATCAATGGAAAGAATTAAAGATCAGAGTTCATAGAAGAGGTCCACGAAACCTTCAAGATTTGAAGACTGTTTGTGTGGAAGAATGGGCCAAAATCACACCTGAGCAATGCGTGCCACTAGTTTCTCCATACAGGAGGCATCTTGAAGCTGTCATTGACAACAAAGGCTTTTGTACAAAGTATTTGATAAATTTCAGTAAGTGTGTTCAATACTTTTTCCCTGTGCCATTCCACATTATTACAAATAACTTCATTTCTGGACATTTATGGTTTGATTTCTTTGTATGTATGGATCACTTGGGTTGTTACCAACATCTGGCGAAAATTTCATGTCATTAGCACCTCTAGTAATATATTTACTGAGAAAATTGTTGACGTGTTCAATACTTATTTTACCCACTGTATGTCCTGTCACCTAGCCACCATGATAATGCTAAACAGAAGCAAAAATAGGTCAAAATTGTAAAATTTTATTGTATTATTATTGTTATTATTAATGTTATAAAATAACAATTAGCTTAAAGGCAACATTTAAAGGACTTTATCAGCTCGTCTGATTTATGATATTTTAAAACATGTTTATGAAAATGACAAAAGCAACACAACTTACAATTTTTATACCGCCAGATTTTTTATTTAAAACAGTACTCCTTTCTCTCGCTTCGCCCACCATTACAAGCAGAATAAATTCTCCAGTCTGCCTGTAATGCATCATGGGATAGGATGGGCCGAGAAGGATCTATCGGACCCTTACCTCAAATCAGGGAAAAAGGAAGCGTTTGTGGATCGCATCAGAGGAGTCTTCGAATTTAGCCACCCTCCAGCGCAGCACTAAGCGGCCGACAAATTTGGCGTTCGGAGGACCCAGCCCCTGAATTTCATCACAGCCAATGTTTAAAAACATGGTTGGAGAAATCATGTCAAATTATAACAAACAGCTCAGCTGTCAGCACGGTGGTGGAGGGCGGATGGTTTGGGCTCCTTACAGTCACTTAGTGGACCGTGAACTCCTGAATAGACCAAAGGTTTCTAGAATCTGACAGCTGACGTTTGGACCAAACTGAGTCCAACAGAACAATGATCCCAAACAGAGGCTGATGTACAACAGAACGGGTCAAAAAGAACAGAATTAAGGTGCTGCAATGATCCAGTCAGAGTTCAGACTCAGGGCTGCCACGATTAGCCAACTAGTTGCGATTATGTCAACTATTAAAATCGTCAACGACTAATTTAATAGTCGATGTGTCGTTTTTTTTCTAACTTTGTATATTTTTTTATAGTCGAATAATCACCAATTATTATCGTTTGTGGCAGCCCTAATTACCTCTACTGCCCTAATTACCTCTACTGTGCTTGTGTGTCAAGGACAGAAAGGCAGATGCTGCAGTGGAAGGTGCCGCAGCAGTTTGGAGAGAAAAACAATGTTAGGGGGAAAAAAATGACGCATCAACTATTAAATTATCAATGTTTTTAATAGTCGACAGTTATCATGACTAGTCGACTGATCATGGCAGCCCTATTCAGAACCTGACCTTGATTGAAATGTTGTTTTGAGACCTGAGCAGAAACAAATGTCTGCAAACAAAAATGTAAATAAAAGTGGGCTTAAATTCCATCAGAAGTCCTACTGAAAACCACCACATTAGCTGCGTTTCTATTGACCGTGAAAATGCGCAAATTAGAATTACGAAAATAAATTTGCTCAAAGGAAACACGTCAATTTCGAAGAAACTTCATTTTTTCGACAAAATGTTTTTGAGCTAGGATGAGGTGGTTTTTTCGACCGTATCGAAATTGGTTTATTTCACAAAACTGCAATGGAAACACTTTATTTGCATCATGGGAGTCACGTGATCAAGAACCGGCTGTTTCTACTGGTGAAAAAAAAAGACGAAGAAGACAGCAGGAAGTAGAAGTAGTAGTAAAATCACCGAAGTTGTAAAAGAAAGTAGTAAACTCACCCACTACAATTTTCCAAAAACACCGCATACGTAGCCGCTCCCAAGTAAAAGGGGCTTGTCGCTGGAAAGCCTCGATAAAAGATGCTGACATCTCCTCTGATGATGAGCGCTAGTGTCGCGGTAGCAACATGCAATGTGTTTACATCCATCGCCGCCATGTTTGTAATGACTTATCGTGAGAACAAACGTATTCACGCGTGAATTTAATAGCATTTCTCACTTAACGGAAACACCGCAATTGTGAAACTGTTTTTTCGACATTAACAGAATGTCGACAAAGTTTTGCGCACATTTGCAATGGAAACGCAGCTCATGACTGGTCAGGAAGCATTGTCACTGGATGAGTCGTGGCAGCAACTGCTTCCAAACCGTTCTTTTCTACAGCTTTTAGCCAAGTCTGTATTCCATGAAGAATTGATTAATGTGAGACGGGTCGCGCTACACTCAGTTAAATAATGACTTAAATACTGCCAGATTAGCTTCTACAAGCTGCTAGAATCTGGACCGATGTGGTGGAATCTATTGGGTGTTTTTGTTCACTTAATTAGATTAAATTTCAATCATTTTAGAAGCTGGTAAAGACCACATTGTTAAATTGTGTGTAGCTAAATCATATTTAGTAAATATTTTTGTAATTATATGTAGAATTTAAACAGGATGGGCTTCCTTCCTGGCTGTAACAAAAAATATCCTCGCCAGAACTTGATTAGTCCCCAATATTTAGTTTGTTGTTTTTCACAAAATGCAACTTCATCAGTGGGTAAACAAAACAGTGGCTTTATAAATTTTGTTCCAAACAATTTATTTACATCTTTATTCCTGTTGATGTTGCATTGAGTTCATTTTAATAAAAAGTGAGATAAAACATATCCTTTATTATATTTACCTTTGATGTCCAAATGAGCCTGAAAACCAGTAACCCCAGACTGGTGAGCAATTAGCATAGATGCTAAAATGCTTTAGAAAACGTTGGCCTCATAGCCAGAGTTGTAAAGTAACTAAGTACAAATACTTTGTTACTGTACTTAAGTAGAAATTTTGTTTATCTGTACTTTCTACTCCTTACATTTTTTAAAAAAAGGTAAGAAGTAGAAAGTTGTAACTTCTATTTCATTTTGGCTTTTTATTGTTAAAAAATACTACCCTGAAAAATTGTGGCTCCTGGATAGAGTGAATTTAATTATGGTTGTATGAGAAGTATAAATATATACCATTCTGATACTGTAGCAAGTTTGTACAGAATCCATCAAAGCTGCGCACCTTTAGAAAAATATTTTTTGAAGAGGTCACCTCCCAGTAACTGCTCATTTTTACTCAGTACTTTTACTTTTAATACTTAAGTACATTTTATGTCAGAAATTTACTTTACATAATTAAGTACAAAATAAATCAGATACTTTAAGACTTTTGCTCAAGTAATAATCTTAGAGGAGACTTTAACTTCAACTAAAGTATTTTTATGATAAGATACTTGTACTTTTACTCAAGTATCACTTTCAGGTACTTTATACAACACTGCTCGTAGCATATATGCTTAAGTCATTTGTGACCAAATATGTCTTAGGCAATTATGCCATGAGGCTAACGAAAAGCTAAAATGTGACCCATCACATCGAAATGAGCATTAAGTCTAAAAGTTGTGGAGAAATAGGCAGATTGCAAAAATTACATTTTGTCAAAATATAACAAATAAATGTGTTATCAATGTATCATTTCATTGAGCTGTCTGAAATATCCAAAAAAAAATTTTTTGAAGCACTTTTTTTGAGCAGTAGCAACCAAAAACCAGATTTTGAGGAAAAAACGCCTTAAAATATTGAGATTTTCCCTGTGAGCTAGCAAAGCTTTTGTTTCATTCCAGCTGGAAAATCTCAGTATTCAAATACTGTTTGAGGTTTCTTTCTTTCAAATGATGAAAAAAATTCTCATTAAAATTACTTAAAATTAGGATTTAGACCAAATACTTGTGTATTATTGTAACCAACAAGACAAATAAAATTATATCTCTGGATTTACTAATGACATCCGATTGATCTAAATATAAAATTAGCGTTTAAAGCCAGGAATCAGAAAATATGATTAGGTCATTTTGACCTAATTTGACCTAATCCTCATTTCGATGGGATGGGTAACAAATGATTAGCATTATGTTTGTCACAAACCAGTGTAAACTAAAGCTGGTTATGTTAGTGAAGGAAATTTTGTAACTGATTAGTTAAATGCAGTTTTTATTTTATACTTTCTGATCATTTCAGCCTTTAAGGTTAAAGCAGACAAGTTGGTATGTGTGTTATCATGTGTTCTGTGATTTAATTTAAACAAAAATGAGATACGTTCTGATGTGTGACGTAAAAGGTAACACCTCCAGGATGTAACCAGGAAGAGATGAACATTATAAGGTCAATTCATTGTTATAGTAGAAAGAAGTTGTCAGTGTGTTACAGAGTCTCTGCTCAGAGCAGGGCAGCTGTGTTTTGTTTTGGTTCAGCCCAAGGTCTTACACTGAGGCCTGCTGAGAGCTGTACTGTGAACCTGATTGGAGTCAGAAGATTGAAAATAAAGTTTGTTAAAGAAGAAATCCAGCAGATTCCTGTTTATTTGGACATACCATTTTGAACAACGCATATTTTTCCTACATAAGATTAACATGACCTATTACAGATTCATTCTTCAAGGATCAGAAAGAATCAATGAAACAAATGGTTACACTGCAAAGAATCTACGGTAGCCCTACTGGGACAAATGGGTCTGTTTTCTCTAGTTGCAGGATTAGGCAAGTCAACTTTTAAAGGGATCCATGATTAGTTGTAACATTAGACTTTATTTGATAAACATATATTTTAACTGTAAAATAAAAACTGTAAAAATACTGTAGGATGTTTAGTTTTTATCATTTTTGAACTAAAAGTTTAAAAATATATTACACGGGTGGAGCCATTTTATTTACATGCAAAGCATTCTGGGTAAATGATGACGTGGATAGGTCCTCGGTGTGAGCGAGCTATATCCACCCTGAAGGTTAATCTTGGACAATATCTGATGATCGACTCTTTTAAATGAAACCAGAGAGCGTTGACAGAGAGGAGAAGGTAGAAATGACTCAGCCTGGAACTGAAAATATGGATGGAGGACAACAGAGCTGCTTCATGGAAGAAGAACCTCAGCTTAGCCTGTTAGCTTTAGTATTAGCCCCGACGCTATCACCATATATATGTATTAGCTCAGCGCTACACATTCTCCTCTCGTCACTGAGGTCCTCCATCCACATGACAGAGAGGGGAACACAAAAATGACTCAGTCTGTAACTGAAAATATAGATGAAGGACCTCAGTTTAGCTTGTTTGTTTGTCGCGCTATCACCGAGCTAATACATATAAGACAATATGGCGCTAGCACAAAGGCTAACAGTCTAAGCTGAGGTTCTTCTTCCATGAAGCAGCTCTGTTGTCCTCCATCCATATTTTCAGTTCCAGGCTGAGTCATTTCTACCTTCTGCTCTCTGTCAACACGCTCTCTGGTTTCATTTAAAAGAGTCGATCATCAGATATTGTCCAAGATTAACCTTCAGGGTGGATGTAGCTCGCTAGCAGCCTCACACCGAGGACCTATCTACGTCATCATTTACCCAGAATGCTTTGTGTGTAAATAAAATGGCCCCATCCATGTTAAAATATATTTTTAAAAATTATAAAAACTGATAATCCTACAGTATTTTAACGGTTTTTATTTTACAGTTAAAAATAAATGTTTATCAAAAAAATTCTAATGTTACAAATAAACATGGATCCCTTTAAAGTTTTGACTGAGTTTGTAGTTTAGTTTTTGTTTACTCCTGCTAACACATAAACACAAGGTTTTAGTTTTACATCTGCACAGTTTTGGTGCTGCTCTGAGTCCAGTTTTCCTCATTCAGCTCCCCTACGGTCAGGGAATTAAGAACCGGTTCAACGTTGGACACTTGACTCCGCCCTCTAAACCCAAACATGAATATTTCCTTCTGCGTTTCCTCGTTTGTGATTGGTCCGTTCTGTTTACAGCAAAACCTGCTGACCATGGAGCAGATCGTGTCGGTGGAGGAGACGCAGATTAAAGACAAGAAGTGCATCCTGCTGCGCATCAAAGGAGGGAAGCAGTTTGTTCTGCAGTGTGAGGTAGGACCTCCACCTGTCGCTGCTGGCTGACGTTAGGACAGAGAGAGAGACCGTGTGTTTGTTTTCTCCCCGTGTCCGCAGAGCGACCCGGAGTTCGTGCAGTGGAAGAAGGAGCTGAACGAGGCGTTCACAGAAGCTCAGAAGTTGCTGCGCCGCGCCCCCAAGGTGATCGGGAAGAGCCGAGCCGGTGTGGTGGAGCTGTCCAAACCTCCCCTCACACACCGCAACAGTAATGGCCTGTAAATACATGTACACACATGTGTATATATAAATATATACAAACACACACATCCCTTAGCACACACACTGCACACCACCTCATCACTGTAAGACATCGGGACACAAGTGCTCAAGTCCCGCCCCCTCCACACACACACACACACACACAAACACACACATTCAACGACCAATCTATTGGGTTATTTATCTTTTCATTAACGGGACTCTGCCACAGAGAGGCTGGAGGGTTCAGGTCCTGAAGACCCTCCACATGGATGTGATGAAGGGTTTCATCCCGTCACGTAGCCCCTCCCTACTCTCATGGAGTCGTGTCTCCTGGACCCCTGAAGCACAGCGACTCGTCCACAGGAGAGCTCCACTCCTCTGTGTGCTGATGGTGGGGGGAGGGGCTACTACGGAGAATGTAAACACAAAACAACAAGAATAAAAACGTGCTGCAGATGTGGATCCTCTCCTCCCTCCTTCCTCCCTTTCCTCACTTACTTGAGTGTGCAAAGTGCCAACGTGAATATTTGACTTGAGGACCTGCCCTCCCCTCTCCCTGGACCCTCAGAGGGGGTGGGGGGTCCGGGAAACGGGGACCGACCACAGACTCTTCCGATTGACTCCCACGCAGCCTGTTACTATGGAGACTGAGATTCCATTGGCTGTCAAACAGCAGCTGGTTGCTATGGGAACTGGGACGACCAGTGTACCTGGGGATCAGTGACTCTGGACTAAGGTGTGTGTGTGTGAAGGGGGGGGGGGGGTGTATATAAACAAACCTCTCTGAGCGTCTTCAGTGTTTTAGTCGTGTGTTTTCATGGTTCTGGATGTTCTGGACCACCTGTGGAGGCTGGGAGGAGGGGCCGGGGGTGTCGACAGGCAGGTGTCAGAGCTGTGCTCAGATGACCGGCGTGTTCTCTCACACACACACACACACACACACACACACACACACACACACATCCCAGCAGGTTCACACTCAGCCAGTGTTGGTGGACGGAGAGCAGAGACGATGTTAGATGAGGAATATTTGCAGCTTCAGGTGCAGCGAACACAAATGTGTCCTGGAAACACTTTTCCATCCTCCATGTTTGGACTTTTAGTTTTAACAGAACCCTGTACAGCATCCAGGTAGGAATGAACCGCTGCTCGTTCTGTTTGTTTTTTTATGGGAAAAGTGTCACGGTTTTTTTTTCCAAATGCAGCATTATTGTTCTGGCAGAGAACCTTTGAGCAAAACTAATGCATGTTGTAGTGTCTCAGTGCCTGAGCTGAGGGTGCAGAGCCTGGTGGTCCTGAGGGTTCAGGAGCTGACAGAACAACCTGAGCTGCTTTAGGTTCAGACCCTGGGACGTTCCAGGAGGCAGCAGTGATGAAAGGAGGTGGTGTTGGTTCAAAATAACCAAACAGGGTGTTGTTTTTTAAAAAAAAAATTTATAAAAAGCTCCTGTATTTATCCAGTGCAGAGAATAAATGAATCTGCCACATCCTGGTGTGTGTTTAACAAAATAAGACCTGCTTGTTCCTGCACCACACCTGCAGCCTCACTTCATCACTTCTGTTTGCACTGACACAGATCTGTGTTTAGATCATTTTGTTCAAGTCTTTTCTGTCTCGAACCTCTGCTGCCCAGATGGACCACTCTGACAACAGGAACACTTTTATTTCCTAAACAGGAACAGAAAAAAATTAATTTGTAATGTGAATCTTACTATTTTGGACCCATGAAATTCTTTTTTTTTATTTGTTGACAGAAGGAAGCAGACTTACTGTAGTTTACCTCCTGTTATTCTGGCTCAGATGAGGTGAAAAGCTTTTCATTTCGCAGAGTTTACGTGTTTTGTTTGGACCTCGTCACTCCCCTGCAGAACAGGAAGTCAGCAGTGTTAACGGCACGGAGCAGCAGGAGGACTTGTTGTAATTCAGGGCTTTTATTTTTCATGCAGTACCGTGTCCTCGTCTGTGACGTCAACGCATTTCTGGAGCTGTGATGTTGGACCCTGAGTAGGAAAAAGGGCCACCAGGAGCATCATGAGGGTTTTTTTTTATTATTTTTATTAAATGTTTAGCCTTTACCAGTCAGGGGGAGATTTTACTGTCTTATAGAGAAATGTTGCCACCTCTTATGGTGTCTTTTATTTTTGTAAACCAAAATGGTTTTTATTGTTTTTGCTCAAATTTATGTTGCACTTTTTTTTTTTTTTAGCAGCCCAGTATGATGTAAACCAGTTGTTAAATGTGCCAAATAATTATGTGAGAAAACCAACAGGAAGTTGGAACTTGTGGACACAGCTGCATCCAAAACCATGTCGAGTTCCACACAGTGAGTTTGTGAAACAAACTGCGACCAAACCCACCCCCCCCCGCCCCCTCGCGGGTGGGAAGCACAGACACACACAGAGCAGCTCAAGGCGTGCGCAGTGTGAGTATGCCTCATCAATGCCTCCTGTGGTCATCAAGTGGACTTTTTTAATTTTAATTTTTTTTATTGTTGCACATAGATTTTATGCTCAGACACGCTCGACACAATTTAAAAAAAAGTGGCATATAGGGAAAAAAATGAAAGTATATATAAATATATGTGTATATGAAATGAGAAAAATGCTTTAGGTTTATTTAAAAGATTTATTGTAGAAAACAACGAGGGGCGGTGGGGAGTCTTGATGTGAGTCTAATTGTTTGTGGTGAAGACTTCAGCTGGACTCTTGCACATAAAGACTTGGAGGAGTTCTTGGACCTGCAGGAGCCAGACGGTCATGTCTGCTGGAGTATCGCACTCTTTGCTCTTTCATATTTATTGTGTGGCGAGTTGGAGCTTCCAGCCAACAGCTCGTCGTAGAGCATCCTCCACCGTCAGATACTCTCCTCTTTGTTTTCAGACGCCACAAACACAGATACTACTGCTTTTGGGTTATTGAAATTATGGTCATGATATTACTGATATATGATGGATATTATTCAGTGATTATTAAAAAGATTATTTTGTTTCAATGATTTTGTTTTTGTTTTGAGACGGGTAGGATGTTGCGTGTTGGACTGCTTGTAAAAACAGTTCATGAATAAAAAATTTTTTTCCGTGTTGCTTTCTGTCACGTCTCATTTGTTTTTGTCATCGTCCTGACTGAATATAGAAATGTTAATTATTTTTGCTGATGTTACGAAGGAAAGGTTTAAACCAACATAGTATATATAAACAGTCTAAATCAGGGTTATTCAACTAAACTGCTCCAGGGGCCACAGTTACTGCAGGTCAACAGCTCAGGGGCCGAACATTCAGCTATTAAAGTTATTATGTAAATAAACTAAGTATTACAAAGATCTGTTACCTTTGAATTTGTTTATTTTGCTGTATTTAATAATGAATACAACATACAGAACCCTATAAAAGTAGTGATAATTACACATTATCAAAAACAACACATTATTCCTCCTATTATTAGACACAAATATTTTGACATCTCTGACTTGCCAAATGTTTAAACCAATCTTATTTTCACTTTCATCATTTTATCTTCAACTGCTTGTAGTTTTAACTGTCTTGAGTGTTTATAGAAATGGTTTATACCAGCTTGTAGCCAAGATTGTGATGTTTCTGTAGATACCAAACATGTCTATGTTTAACTAAAAGAAGTTAGGAGTAATTAAAGTAGAAAACTGGGAGTTTGGTCTTAAGAGATTAACAAACCAATTGGCGAGCCGAACTTTGGTCACTTGCGGGCCGGATGTGGCCCGCGGGCCGCCAGTTGAGTAGCCCTGGTCTAAGTTGATCTTTTTTCAATTGTGGAATTTTTGTCTGAATTTAGCTAATCTGGTTTTTACCAAGTTCTAAAACTCTAACGAGTTTTATTCATTCTGCCAAACTTCCATCGATTTGTTTTTGGTTTTTTTCTTTCTCACAGTCGAGCTCAAAACGATCATCTTATAAAGCAAACTTCTCTCAGGACCAACGGAGTGAAGTCATCCAACGTCTTGCACTACTGACAGGTTTGAAGGGAGAACCATTCAAAGGTCTATGAGCACAAAAACACAATCACTCTGTCACTGAGGTGAAGGAGTTTAAACTGAGCAGCAGGCAGAAATGACTTTAAACACTTTAAACAAATTACCAAGGTAAGAACAGAATAATCTGATCAGATATCGCCTTTGATCAGCGTAAAAGGTGGCAATAACCCAAGTGGAGAAACACAAGGCAAGCCATTTGAGTATTTACACCCATCAGTTGTCATTTTCAACCACTGACCCTAATGTACAAACAGTCTCGTAACACTTTTCTTTTTTCGCCAAACTATTTTGCGCAGGAGTCAGACTACTCATATTTTCTGCACTAGTACAAGTGTCCCAATCAGCAGATGTTTTAAAGGGGCAATATCATGTAAAATCAACTTTTGTGAGTTTTATATCATGTTATAATGTTATACTCTCATAAAAACATGCCCAAAGCCTTGCTCTGACTCATTCATGCATGTTTGAGAAATCCTGCAGTGTTTTTAGGAAGCCATGCTGAGGAGCAAAACGACAGGTGGGGACCAGAAACGCCTCTGGGACGTGTCTTTAAGCCGAACTTCATCATCACGGAGCGCCCATGACTCCTGCAGGCTCTCGGATGAAACTGAAAGTGAAACTTAAACTGTCTGCTGAGCTCCTAACATTAGTTCTCACTCAGTGAAGATCTTTTCAGATTAAAAATACCCTTGAGGAAATTTATTTTCAGATGCCAAGTAAACTGCATCATAACGCACGCGAACACCCCCCCCCCCCCCCCCCCCCCGCACTGAAATGGGTGGGACAGAAGCGGAATGTGGTTCTTAAAGAGACAGAGGCCAATTTAGAGGTGTTTAGAAC